CTCAATACACACATACTCATACATGTGCTCAATACACACATAACACATACATGTGCTCAATACACACACATACATACATTTGCTCGATACACACATACACACACATGTGCACAATACACACATAAAACATATATGACTCAATACATACATAACACACATGTGCTCAATACACACGTAACATGTTACAGCGTCGACATACACGCCGGTACATAGGAGGACATGACTTCCCCCATTACATTTACATGTCTCAAGAATAGAGGAGGCGCCTCCACCAGCAAGTTACCCCACTGTATAAACACTTAAATTCCCTTCATCACACCACATAGAAGCACCATCACAATTCTATCACCTTATCATTGCTCACCCCCCCCCCCCCCCCACCGGACCCCCCCCCCCCCCCCCCAACTCGTGCAACATTTACCATTACTATACCAGAAGGAAACAATGCCTCTAATAACAAAAATCAAGAAACATTTATTTTATTTATTGCCGTGTGTCTCTTGGTAGGAGGGTATTATCCTGCATCTCCTTGGCTCTCTACTGGGGTCTCTACTGGGGTCTCTACTGGGGTCTCTACTGGGGTCTCTACTGGGGTCTCTACTGGGGTCTCTACTGGGGTCTCTACTGGGGTCTCTACTGGGGTCTCTACTGAAGTATCTACTGAGGTCTCTACTGGTTTATTTAGCGACATTTCAGATTTATTTTTGGCTAACCACTCTCAGGTCTAGAGTTCACTGTGTGGGGAGGGGGGGGGGGGTATTTTTACATTAAACCTGCTCAGGTTTTCCACACCACATTACACTTAGTGTGTGTGTGGGGGGGTGTTGTTAGTAGGCCATTATAAATAATGCAGCAGTATAACAAGTTATAAACATTTATGGCTTATATGTAACATAATATTAAATCGTTGTAAAATGTAAACATTTATACTCAAATATTTTATGGTATTATTGATCCATTTACATAAAGAGTTTTAAAAATAGTTTGTTAAAACGTAAGATATAACAAGTTGTCATTTCAGCAGGTAAAAAAAAATTATAATGTATATGCCTAAAATTTGATTTGTCAAAGTTATGATCAAACTTGTTTTTTTCTTCTTCTTCGTTTGTAACTAATAATGGAGGGAATTCCCCTCAACAGAATTCATGATACTTTCTCGTATTATGCTTTTGTTTTTTCGAGTTGACTGCCACTGTCTTTGTCCACCCAGGAACAATCTGCCAGGCAGCAGTTAATTGGTTGCTGTCCCCAGCTAACGAGCCTCCGGCGTTCGAACTTGAAACTTCTGGAGTTAGCACCCACACGCTCTCCTGCCCGACCACGCCGTCCCCTCGATCAAACTGGAGATTTGTAAGTTGAACAAACGACGGAAGTCTGAGTAACGTCCCAGAACTTATTTACAAGAGAAGCGACCCCGACTGAGATATAAACGACCCCTGTTGAGTCAGACAAGTGACCCCGACTGAGATATAAACGACCCCTGCTGATTCATACAAGCGACCCCGACTGAGATATAAGCGACCTCACCCCTCGAGTATTTGCGAACACGGTAAAGACAGGATGACAGCAAGATCAAATTAAAATATTTGAATACTTCATTGAAAGATTTGAATACTCCCCAAACTACATTCCCTTTGAGCTCAATCGCACCAAAATATTTAATTACTTACACTGATTCGTTCTGATTAGGTCCACTCAAACTAAAATACTATAATACTTTCTTATACATTAAAGATACGGCTAAAAGGCCAAAGACTAGAGGAAGTTCGCTCATTTAAATACCTTGGTGCCATACTATCTGATGATGGAACGACGCAAGCAATATTGCAAGAAGTGTGTAAACAATAACAGCAGTGAGTACATTAAAAAGTTTATGCTATCACTGGTCATGTCTGTCTTCCTGTATGGATGCGTGGCGTGGGCCCTCAACACAGACATCCAGAAAAGAATCCAAGGCCTGGAAATGGGAAGCCTACGCAGACTTCTAGGTCTGTGGAAAGACTACTAATGCGATTGGTCCCTTTGGGCGTCTACTGAGCATTGTTAAAATTATAATTTAAGATGGTATGGACTTCTCACACGAACCAACGGCCTATCTAAAACAATATTGTAGGTCACAGTGCCAGCAAGGGGAGAAGGGGAAGAAAGACGTCACTGGATGGATGACATCTAAGACTGGACTGAGCTGCCCGTTGTAGAGCTACTCAGAGCAGCAGAAGACAGAGACAAATGGCAGAAAATGTTGATAAACACAACTGTGGTGTCACAACAACTCCAATAAGGTTTAAGGGGTGATTGAATGATTGAAGAACATCTATGCCATTGGGCCAAATTACACTAAAATATTTGAACATTTCCCATGTTAAATTCCCTCTGGAACCAATCATATTAAAATATTTGAACATTTTCCATGCTAAATTTCCTTCGGAACCAGTCATACTAAAATATTTGAACACTTCCCATACTAAATGATCCTAGCGCCCCCCCCCCCCCTCCCCTGCACGCACGAGTTTGCCTGACTGTGAAGTCAGTTAAGAAAAGCTTATAGAAAACCAGTGAAGCAGTGATGTGCTGAGTTCAGTTGTAGCGATACAAGACGTTTTAGACACGTAACTGTAACATCGTGGTGTGGTTAACTGGTTGAGCCTCGATATGGCCGAGTGGTGTAGACCTGGTGTACATGTGTGGAGTGGTGCAGTAGTGTGGGGTGGTGTGGGGTGGTGGAGAGTTTGGGTGTTGGGTTGTGAATGAGTGTAGAGTGATGTGGAGGTATGATCGAATGGTGGTGAGGTGGAGTAGTAGTGTATGGTTGTGGTGTGGTGGTGTATAATTATGTAGAAGTGTGTAGTGTAACGTTGTGAATGGTGTGAAGTTGTGTGGAGTGGTGTGGGGTAGTGATGTAGTAGTAAAGGTTGGAGTAATGGTGTGGGGTGGTGTGGGGTGGTGTAGGGTTGAGGGATGATGAAGGAATGTACTGTAATGGTGTGGGGTGTTGTGGAGTGATGTGGGGATGAAGTGGGATTACAATGTTTTTTTGTGGCCAAAGTGTGACATGGTGTGTAATGTGACACAGTGTGTAGTGTAAAGCTGTGATGTCACATGGTGTGTAATATGACGTGGTGTGTAGTGTCACACGGTGTGTACCGTTGTGTAGTGTGACGTGGTCTTAGTTTGACCATGTGTAGTGTGCCTGAATGTGTAGTTTGTATTGAGAGTTACTGACAAAACTGCAGGAGAAGATGCGTCTGAATGACGTCACTGTATCACAAGCACGCACAGCTGTGCACACAATGATGCAACACGACCGAGCAATTTTTTAGCATGCACATTCAGCCACGCATCGATTACTTTATGCTTAGTATAAAAAGTCGGAATTTTTATGGGAATAAATCGATGGTTTCGCTAGTGTTATTATAATCCATTGGGGAAAAAACCACCACTACCACAATACTTTAGTCAAACCCTGGTTTTTCTATATTGTTGCTTTATTCAACTTAATTATAAACTGATGTATTTTTTCCCTCCTCGAGTAGAGAATACATTTTTAAAGTTTTTTTTTTGTTTCTCAACCTACATGTAATAGCAGCGGTGTTAACTCTAATTGACTTGTGGTAATTACCAATAGGCTAGTAGGTCTATATATAGAGTGAAGTATAGTCTAATCTAGAAACTAGAATGTAGCTGGCTAAGTTTAGAATCGCTAAGCCAATGACACAAGTTCGACTTACTCTAAAAACTATATCCTACCTTGTTCAGTAAAGCGGTGTGGTATAGTCCCTAGAGTGAAACAAACAGCGCGACTTGACGCGACGATTTTTAGCCGTGACAAAATCCGAGAAATGTCACCTACTTGTGGAGGGCCAGGTGTGCTCGACACAGGTGTGTTGTCAACATAGGGCGGCACACAGTAGCTAGCTGATGCGGGGTTATTAACGGCAGGCCTGTCTATCGTGTCATTATTAGTTACTCCACGGTGATCCCCCTTCCTGCTCGTGACGTCACACAGTCCTAATTTAAGCTCAACAGTAACCTGTTCTCTACGGTCGGAAGCCAAGCTAGCGCGTCGGGTCTTTGACACAGATAGCCAGTGATCCGATTCAAGACACGGCGAGTTACTTATGTCAGTAGCAGGCGTTAACGCCTCCTTGATCTCAACACGCACCCCCACCCCCCCCTGCCGTCCTTCACACGAGTCAACGGTAATTGGGAAACTAAATTAAGCTATTGATTGAAATTATTTTTAATTAGATATGAGGATTATGTCTGGAGTGGTTTAATGGGGAGAGTGATATTTCTGATGTGGTTAAATGTGACTGTGGTTTATATGAAGTGGTTAAGTGGGAATTGTGGGTTATATGAAGTGGTTTAGTGGGGATTGTGATTTATATCAAGTGGTTAAATGGGGATTGTGGTTTATATGAATGGTTAAATGGGAGACTGTGGTTTATATCAAGTGATTAAATATGGGATAATGATTTATATCAAGTGGTTAAATGAGGATTATGGTTAAGTTAATCTGTTGAAATTAAATAGTGATCGTGGTTTATCTGTTTCTGTGCATTCCTTCACCACTGACAGTGTAGATCACACAGTCCCAAACCTAATGTCAGTTGGATAGGGACCTGGTTGTAGGATGTGTAGGGCATCATGTTGACAGAGGTGGTATAACGTGTACCTAGTAGTCAGGGGGTGGGTGGGCATGGAGTCTTGAGTTTTCTTGACAAATTGGGCTGCACTAGAGCTAATGGGAAGGGGAGGTCACAACTGGAGGTGGGGGGGGGGGGGGGGGCAATTAACACCAGGGGGGGGGGGGTGGTGGTTAATCTGCCAAATGGAGGGGGGCTCAAACAAGAGGGATGGGGCAACACAAGAAATGGAATCTAGTGTCACATTATAGTTATATTTTAAGTTGACAAAAAAAAATTCAAGAAATGGAATCTACTGACACATTACAGTTTAAGTTGACAAAAAAAGCAAACAAACACTTCAAATTACTGAGAAAACATTTGATTTATAATCAGTTTACCAAAATGTCTAAAAATAATGTAGCATTGTATAAATTCTATGTATAAACTATTGTAAGCTTTGACATAAACTCTTCTGGTGCCATTTTGTTGAGGACCTAAGGGGGGATATAGACACAGGGAACACTAACCCACTGGTCTCCACTCTAACAAATCATCTGCTTCTCTCCCTTGTTTTCACTATTTTGTTCACAATTCCTGAACTGATCTAGAAATGTGGTTCATAGTTCAGACAAGTGGTAGGGGTTAGCCTGCTGTACAATACATACAACACTAATGTGTGAATTGTACAAGTAGTTCAGAATTACATTTTTATTTACTAAACATCAGAAAATTTCATCTGTTTGAGCTCTCTTCTCTACACCAATGACAAAACAAATGCATGCAGCACACTTGTATTGGCTGACAGAGACAGACTAGCCAAATGACCTTAGACAAATCATATGAGATCTTGCTAACTGACATGTATATACAACTGTATAAACAACTCGTACCAATCTAGCTGTTTGACCTACATATAAAAAGTGCCAGATGTTGCAATATGACCTGTACACAACATGACCTGTACACAACATGTACCAGATCCTGGAACTTGTGACCTATAAATCCATATAGGATAATCCTATCATACATGTTCAAATTGTTATTTGCATGAAAACAACAGGTAAGGGAAAGAACTTATAATGGGATAATTCTTTCAATTAAAAAAAAACAGGTTATTTAACCCTTCCTAGTCAGACTTGCAGCAAACAATCATAAAACAAGCATCATCTGCAGTCAATTAAATAATAGCACACACACACATCAACCCAAATACAGCAGTCCTTGCTTCACTGTATTTACAAGGCATGTTACACACACTGTACACAGCAATCACACACCAACTAAGTTAGTTGGTGTGTGATAGTTACTAACTACACAAGTCAGCCTAGGAGACAATGCTGACTAAGTGAAATGTCAACCAGGCAACAACTTCAGACATTTTCTACTTTCATTTACATTACATTCAGGTATATAAATAGATACATTTTAAATGAAAAATAAAATGAGACCAAAAATGTGGTCAATTTTTTTACAAAACAATTCATTCTTAGCTCTATACAATTTCTTAGCCAGTGAATGTTGCACTACAGACAAGATAGGCTCTCTATCAATAAAAGCATAAATTATACTGACATCAACAGTAACAAAAAATGTATGTATATAAATAATTTGTACATTCCTTTTTGCTGCAGCTAAAACAAGTCAGCATATCTGTGGTGTATGAAAGAAAAGTGTACCTCTTGTGACATTAAAAACAATAAAATCTGCAGTAGCTCTCAGCCTGCAGTCTAGATGTGTAGGGAAGGTTATCAATATGATAACATGCTATGTGAAGTGATGACGCTGACAGTAGTTGAGGTGATGGTCAGTTTAGTGGACGTCATAGAAAAAATAATCGTCTTCCTCTTCTTCATAACCAGTTGCTGCAAGGATAAAAACAAAACAATTGTTTTATCATGTTACACCCTACAGTATTAGAAGGCTGCTGGATGTTAAAATACTCCAGTACCAATTGATTGTGTTATCCAATACCCTACTATAACTGCATAAAATACATTCCATTAAGAGGATGATGGTACCTAAAAAAATATATGCTGGAGTAAAAGAAATTCAAACCTTCTTGACTTAAGAGCTGCCTGGCACTGAGGATTTTGTGACCCGCCTCGTCATCATCTTCATCTTCTTCTTCCTCATCATCCTCTATTTCTTCTGCTGGACCTAAACATCATACATGACTTTATTGTTAAAATTTTGCACTGGGACTAGTGTCTTGTTCTGATGATACAACTTAAATTCTGATTGTGGGCCAATATACTCAGATATGTGTGAGAGTTAAAAACTAGACAATGGTGGGCCAATATACTCAGATATGTGTGAGAGTTAAAAACTAGATAATGGTGGGCCAATATACTCAGATATGTGTGAGAGTTAAAAACTAGATAATGGTGGGCCAATATACTCAGATATGTGTGAGAGTTAAAAACTAGATAATGGTGGGCCAATATACTCAGATATGTGTTGAGAGTTAAAAACTAGATAATGGTGGGCCAATATACTCAGATATGTGTTGAGAGTTAAAAACTAGATAATGGTGGGCCACAGATATGTGTTGAAAGTTAAAAACTAGATAATGGTGGGCCACAGATATGTGTTGAGAGTTAAAAACTAGATAATGGTGGGCCACAGATATGTGTTGAGAGTTAAAAACTAGATAATGGTGGGCCAATATACTCAGATATGTGTTGAGAGTTAAAAACTAGATAATGGTGGGCCACAGATATGTGTTGAGAGTTAAAAACTAGATAATGGTGGGCCAATATACTCAGATATGTGTTGAGAGTTAAAAACTAGACAATGGTGGGCCAATATACTCAGACATGTTTAAAATTAAAAACTATCAAAAGAATAAGAAGAAACCAAAGATGGATACTGAGCAAGTAAATGGGTAGACAACTCATGGTTTACCTTCATCCGTGTAGGGCAGGGGTTCATGGTTATCCTCCACTAGAATAACTGGTTTGATCTCCTCCACTGGCTCAAGTTTGGACTTTTTAATTTCCTGTGTGTTGACTTCTATCCTCACTCTCTTGCCTAGTGGTTTCTACAAAATTAGGAACAAAGTGGTATAAGCCCAGCAGATAGCTTTAAAGCAGGTTGTGTTGGTACACAGTAATTGAAGGTAAACAAAAAATTAGGAACAAGTGAAATCAGCCCAGCAGGTAGCTTTAAAGCAGGTTGTGTTGGTACACAGTAATTGAAACAAAACAAAACATTAAGAACAAGTGAAATCAGCCCTGCAGATAGCTTTAAAGCAGGTTGTGTTGGTACACAGTAATTGAAGGTAAACAAAAAATTAGGAACAAGTGAAATCAGCCCAGCAGGTAGCTTTAAAGCACGTTTAGTTTAGTGTTAGTGGACACTAATTGAAATTATACAAAAAATTAATAATTACCTTAATATCTTTGTGGTCTGATAATGATGACTTATTAAACCTGTAAAAATTAAAAAAACATATTATTACAAATTACCAGCATTGTACAAATATGAATTAGATGTTACTGATTTACTACATGCAATAAGATGTAGCAACAATAACATATTTTGGCCTACCTGTTGGTGATGTGTGGTTTTCTATCAGTGGTTGGCGTGTCAGAGGGAATCTCTATTGGCTCAGTGGAAACACATTCAGTGGAGGCAGAAGCGTCCAAGGTGTTGAGAACATTGTAGTTGATTTTGTCTGAGAACTTCTTCTCACGCATGTCTTTCTTCAAGATCTCCATGCACTCTGCCAGCTCTGTTTCCAAGTCATAGCCTCCTTTTTTCTTCTTCTTCTTTGTTCTGGGCTGAAAACAAGAAGCAGGGGTGAGTGATAAATATCTCAGAGAAAAAAAACTGTCAATTCTTTTACTTGTTTTATGTATTAAAAACAATCTCTGCAGCAAGTCTTGAGGAGGGTATAGAACTTATTTTCATGCTTTCAATAAAAACACCTATTAGTCTTTTCTTCTGCACACAAAATGTAATGGGTATATGACATGACATAAACTTATTTTTTTATCTTTCTTGTCTACCCCAACTGTCCCCATTGTCTATGTTTGTTATTCTACATTTAAAGTGTCATATATACGCTACACTTTCTATCACAACAATAACAAACGCTAAACCATTCTTACTGTCTTCAGTAATCTATCACAACAACAACAAACTTTAAACCATTCTCACTGTATTCAGTATATCTAGCCCTAAAACATTCTAAATTGTCTCCGTCACTGTGTACATTGAGTCCAGTTTCATGTATAATCAACCCCTAAATAAACAAATCCCAGAATCCTAAATTGTCTCCGTTACTGTGTACATTGAGTCCAGTTTCATGTATAATCAACCCCTAAATAAACAAATCCCAGAATCCTAAATTGTCTCCGTCACTATGTACATTGAGTCTAGTCTCATGTACAATCAACCCCTAAATAAACAAATCCCAGAATCCTGTACTCACATTCTTCTCCTTTTTCTTGGCAGCAGCCTCTTCTTTGATTCTCCTCTTCTCTTCCCTGTCTGCTCAAGGAAAAGTGAACAAATCAAATAATTGAGTCATGCATCATTAAGTTGACATTATATCATTAGTTAACTAACGAAGAAACACACATTAGCCAGTGTTGCATCAGTTACCTCTGACTATCTCCATGTGTTCACCAAACTCTAGGTCAAACCATTTAGCTTTATGCTGGGCTTCTTCTTCTGACACGATCAGCTAAAAGACAACAAAATTGGCAGCCTATTTATAGCAAGTCATTTATGATTACATTATAAGAGATTTAGGGCAGGGGCTTAAAAGAAGAAGTGTGTTGGTAAAAACTATTTCTGACTTTAAAATTTTTTTATAGTAAAATATTATGACAAGCTATCCCATAAAAAAATCACACAAGACAGGTTACTATAAGAGACATAAATACACCTCTAGTCTACCTGATCAATCTCATCATCATCAATACCAGTCAAATCAAGTTCACCATCCTCAACTTTGGAACTCTGTGCCTTGCCTTCACATTCCTCTGTTTCTGGCTGCATGATGTTGCTCTCATTTTCTTGCTCAACACTTTTACCAGCTTCTGAAGGGTTCACATCAAATTATTAGTTATTACATTATCCATTGTCAAAGTTTAACTAATAATAATAAGTTCAACAAATAATAATAATTGCACTAGCTTCTAAATAGATGTATCAAATGATTAACAATTACATTCAGGGTTCCTACACCAAAGTGAACTTGAAATTCCAGGAGAATTCCAGGAGTTTTTCAGGAGAAAAACCAAAATTCCAGGACATAATTTAGCTTATTAAAAAGCAACGACTTAACCCCACACTGAATGGAAAGGAGTTTGACATTTCTTAAATAGGAAGTTGTCTTTATAAAATGCTATGTAGCATGGCATTTGTAATTTTTAAAAAGTAACTGTTTCTAAACCATTTAGTTTAGTTAAAGTAGATTCAATTTTGCACCCCACCCCTCCCATTTATAAATTGTTATTCATAAAATTGCTCTCTCCTTTCTCTTCTCCACCCCCCCCCTCCAATTTTGAAAATTTGGTGGCACTATTTTGTAACAATTTTTATCTTTGTACTACACAATTGAGGTAGAGGAAAGTGGAATCAGTGTGCAGTCTTGTAGCAGTTTATTTTCTTACCTTTGACTGTGTAAAATTCAATACTTCAGCATAAAATGAGCTTTTTGTAAACAAAATTTTTATCCCTTTTGATCAGGGCGCCCCCCCCCCCCCCCCCCCACTTATGCCAATGAGTAGTTAAATATATAAATGTGACACTTTTCTTAAACAACTACTCACTGTCCATAATTTGAGCCTGTTTATAAACCCCCCCTCCCCAGTTCTAAGGCCTGTTGTCACAAATTGATCTCATGAATTTCCCACCCTCCCTTATCACAAAAGAAATAAATTATACAGAGATGTAAACAGGCTATTGAAAATATCAGTTCTTTATTATCCCACCCACCCACCCCCCTAAAAAAAAGTAAAACTTCACAACTTTAAAAATATTAGAAAGCAATTTCAGCAATAAATTAATTTAAAATGTTAATCAATTATATGTTTCCACTTTTGTTTTCAATTCAATGATTACTGAAATAGTGTGAGTAAATTCACTTAGTAAAATAATAATACATTAATTTAGATGTTTGTTACTGAGAAACATATTGAGCCTAGCAATCATAGCTATATCCCAGTGTCAAGTTACTTAACCCCTCACCAATGTCATCATCCGTACTAACAATGTCAATTATAAACAAACAGAACAGCTGAAACCATGGACATGGCATTGTGATTTAAATGGGAGTCTTCAACAATTCCTATTACAATTTATTAAAACAGTTTTCTAAAACGCGAAATAACTGCTAAAATTCGTTTTCTAACATTGCGTTTTATGATGAAAAAGTGCGACGTCCCACCACCTGAACCCCCCCCCCCCCTCATCACACACCGTCACAAAATTACGGACCCCCTACGAGTGTGACGTCATTTATGGACGACCCCTAATACTTGAAAAATTCAAAATATTTCAGCCAAAAATAGAATTTCAGATAGTTTTTTTTTTTTATTGCCGGTAGCGTATTTTTTTCTCCAGCTAGACACCGTCATGCGGGGTCAGTTGAGTTCATCTAAGCTTTTAGTTGGCCTGTAGTACACTGCTGATGACATCACTAGCGGGTCACACAGAGTTCACTTCATAAACCCAACCAGAGGTCCTCCCTCCCACACCCTGTCGTGGGAAAGAAACTGAAATGCGGGATGGGAGGGTGATAGTATTACAACACACATGTAAAAATAGAAAGTAGATCTAGAGCCTATCGGACTGTAGATTCAAATTAGCCGCGGGAAACTTGTACATTATTCAAGTGCACATATCCAATGAATACAGGCATACAGTAATATACTTGCCCTGGTTATCAACATATACAGGCATACATAAATGTACTTGCCCTGGTTATTTTCAATGTTGTCAGTGACCTGAAGCTCCTCATCAACTGGGTCCAGACCTTTCCAAGTGCCATCCTTCCAGTCTTCCCCAGCTACCTGCTTGACTGTTTCCTCACCAATCAGCTTGACGGCCTTGTCCAGGTCTAGCTCACCCTCTGGTCTGGCCTCTGGCAACATTTTATAAACACATTGGCCACAGCAGATGACAGAACATAAACAAGATAACTGATGTGAAAGTTAACTAAGGTTATATATATCTATTTCTTTCACCAACACAAACAAAAGTATCTATATACAGTAGCTACACAGAGGTAACATTCAAGTTATTAATTCAAGCCTTTAGTGCTGTAAACATTTATAAACTGTTCTCAACAGGACAGAATGCAATGGCTGTGATTCTTCATCAAGGTATTTATTATTGTAATCAGGTAGTGTAGTTATGGATGCTAATCAAATATTAAGGTAGTATATTTAAAAAGTGTTCAAATATTTACCTATGGAAGGAATATGCTTTCTCTTCAGTGATTTGTTAATATTTTTTTCAAACTTGTTCAACTCTTTGATCATGTTTTCAGATATGTCCTCTGTCACCTGCAACAATTCACTCTTCTATTCAACACCTTCAAACAACACTTAATACAACAGTTGACAAAAACACTTATAACAGTCTTCTGAATGACTGCACACCTTCAAACAAAAGTTGATACATCTAATAACACTTGTACAATCCAACTTAATGACTAAGGCAAACCTGTGCTTTTTTTGCTTTCTTTTTTCCCTCAGTAAAACAAGGTGGATCCTGCTCCTCCTCTAAATCTACATTATCAAATTCCTCAATAGTCAGCTGGGCAGATGGTGTGTTTTCAAACTCAAGCAGCCTATACTCAAATATAATGCGGTAGTGGGTTTAGAACTAGATAACCATACATACAGTGTATACATATATATATATTAAACAGACTAGCAAAACAATGAAAGTATACTTGGCAGAGGAAAGCACTTCTGCCTTTACATATTTTATTATATTACTCATAATAATTATCAATATACAATGCTTGGTTGAGGAATCCTACTGATAACACACCTCTTCCTGACAGTGCTTTCACAAACTTTAACCACTTTAATGATCTGGTCTATGGTCCTGTTGAAGTTGTGCATTCTTGATGAAATGAGGAGAGCTGTCACACACAAAAATAGTAACAATTAACTGGCATTAGCAGCCTTAAATTGAAGAAGAAAACTCACTAGTTACCCATCTAGTTCTACATAGAATAAACCTGTCTAGCAATCTGCTGACTATGTAGTTCTACGTACAATAAACCTGTCTGGCAATCTGCTGACCCATCTAATACTACAAAGAATAAACCTGTGTACCTGCGCCACAAAGGCCTGCTGGTCGTCGCCCCGTGTGCATCCAATCTCTCTTCATCCTGGCTACTAAACGTGAGGCAGATTCAACGACTTTGTTTATTTTGTCACCAAACTGTAGCTGATTGGCGAACCGGCGGATGTAGATGATGGGATCTAAAATATAATGATATTCATATATCACTTAATTCTGTTGTGCAGAAAAACAACATAGTAATAAATGTAGACTACTAAGTATAGAAAGAACAAAGGAGTATTGATTTTTTAAAAGAGAAACCCAATGGTTTTTAACATGCATTTGTTTTAATACTCCTACACGTAATTTAACAGCTTAGCAGATCAGTTAGTTTTGCAGTTTGTTCAATACTCACCAACAATTCTAATATTCTGACACAGTTCTGTGGCAAGTTGGACAAAAATTCGACCCAGGACATGCACATTCACCTTTCAATTGAAACATTTTAAAAGTTCAATATAGATCCATGGTATAATCTAGTTTAAAACAGTAAACATGTATATCACAGGTATAAACAGTTACATAAAAAGCTGTACTTTAACATTTAATATACTTACTTGTATAAGATCACTGAAGTCTATAAGCATCAGTATAATAGTTAAGGCTAAACCATCATTCAAATATTTAACTACACAGATCGGTAACTATAAAGCATACAGTAGTTATCAGTAATTGATCGTAAAAAATTTTAAAACTATTTTCTTTAGTACTAAATTACAAATGCTGCATTTATGTCTAAAAGGTAGAAATATAGGAAAAACAAAAGTTTTTATCTTGTAGATTATAAAAACTAACAGTACCATTATATTTTCTTAGGCTAAATAGACAGTATACATTCATATAAGCTAAAGTGTAGCAGAAGTAAAGTTACTAATGAAAGGATATATTCCAGATCCTCACTGCCACCAGGGTCAACACGGCAGACGAGGTACAAGCAGGAAGCCAGGACATACTCCATCTTCCTGCCACTAGTGAAGCGGTGGGCCACAGCCAACTTGAAAAAACCAAAAGCTGTTTCAATACTGCTGTGATGCATTCTCAGTTGGCCTCCCATTTCTTTCAATCTCTTGTAGCCTTAAATCATAGTCATATGGTCATCACAAACAAGCTTCATGAAAATATTTCATTTAATATATTGTTTTTAAAATTGACAACTATTGAAATTGAAGACTTTAATATAACTTTAGTTTGTTTTCTTGCATTATTTCTTATTACTAAATAATGAACAGCACAAGAGATTATTAGTTAGGCCTACAGATATTAGTTACCATTTTCCAAAGTTAGTTTTCTAGAATCTTCTGAACTGAATCCATGGCCATAAGCACCACGAAATGATTGAGCTCTGGTACCTGTGCACATTGTTTTGAAATTATTTTTGAAATATCATTCAATGTTAGACAAAAAAGTGAGGTTTTACTAATATAAAAATTAACATGCTTCACACATCAAAAATCATTATAGACTGGTATACTATTTAAATGTAGAACACCATGACCTTTCAATCATGAAAACTAAAATTACAAGGTATGTATAACAATAAACATTTTTGAATACTATGTGGTATATAAAGAAGCTTTAAAATATTCTACAACTACAGAATTTCCTGTTTTTTACCATGCAGTAATTCACTGAAAATCTAATTATATGAGAATCCTAATGATATATCCATACCATCATTGGAAACAAATTGCCCTATGACAGAGGCCCCTCCAGCAGCATTTTCCTGATACTGGACCTCTGATATAATAATCTGGTCCTCTAGAACGGTGCCACAGTTTGTACATACTGCGTCTCCCCTGGCTGGGTCAGTGTCGATCTCTGTACACCCACACTGGGAGCAAGCTCTCGGCATGGTGCTGCTTTAAAAACATTTTTTCTTAAGTCGTTTTCAACGTATTAACTTTTGTCATAAAAATACATCTTTGTCTATCTTTGGGTGTAGTGCTGACACCAATATTTCTTCACAGAGCCATATAGATACAAGTTTTAAAAATGTATTCGTATAATAATGACAATCAAAGAATACTTACCACTGATAGTATTTAAGTTAGAAGATAACTATTTTCATCTGTAACATCCTGAAATTTAAAGTCTTTAAAGTTTAAGTAGGCCCTACCAAAAACCCATAAAACTAGTAGGCGCTTATACATTTTGTTACAATTACTCCTATTTAGAGAGAAACTTAGCTGATCACTAATTTTAGATAAAGAAATGTTTCGTCAGAAAGTACTAGGTGGTTATTTCTACACTGATGCTAGTTATATCCACCTAAAAAAGCATTTATACTATACACGACTTAGATTATAAATACAGACTTAAAAGTATCCCATTTAATATCTTTATAAGACTGTGGTTATATAATATACCACAGCTTTAGGGTTGGATCAAGCAGCAATAAAAATTTAGCATGATTTTCAGGTAGGGCTATAAAATTAAAAAAACAAACAAACAAAGAAGCTAGCCGATCCTTAGTTAAAAACTAAAATCTCACAATTATGTTAGCATACAAAGGTAGCTCTATTTTTTTACAGCATTAAAATAGTAATAAGAATTGGTAAGAGCAGCATTTTGTAAATTCATTGCGGCAGTTAGCTGATTTAGGCTAAGTAAAATGTAAACTGGAAAAATGAATGATCACTCATTAGAACTGACATGCTATTTCACCTGAAATTTATTCTATGTCAACTTTAAAATGGTAATTTTCAGTTGAATAGCATTGTTGTGAACTACTAAAGTGAAGCAAAATGTAATTGTTAATTAAAAATTACTATTAAGCCCTGATTTATTACTTTAACTTTAGAGTGCATAATTGATCATCTACGTAGCGGATATGAACATTAAACAAAAACCATTAGGTACACTTTTACTAATAAAATTTTAAAAATGCCATTTCCACTGCTCCTTTAATCTATACCTCAGACTACCTCACTCCCTAGTCATGGTTAGTGCTTTTGTTATTGAAGATATTAGTCCCAGCTATATTTTGCATGAAATGATAGCTGACCGGAAATAGACGTATGGGAGCCATAATTCAAAGTTTGTATCTGCAAATATTTTTACTACAACGTGGGATTTTCAAAAATTGATCATGGTGTTTCTGTACAGACAATAAATGTTTGTCACACTAGACTGTAACTTCACTCTTAACCCTCAAAATAAGCTTTACTGGAGAAACGTTGCAAAGCCAGGTAAAGCCTACTTTTGAGTTTGCACTTGTATCACAAAAACATTTTTAAAAATTAAACTAACTATGCCCATTTTAGCCGGCATGCATAAAAATATATATTTTAGGAAATTGAATGAGCTAATAGTATTTTTATAAATCTAATAAAAATCTCATAATATAAATAAATTAGCTTCCTGATTTTCATAATTTATGCCCGGAAAAATTTGACTAAACTAAATTACGGTGAACTAGGTAGGGCCTATAGCCTATAAAACGTGTTATTTTTCTCTGTAATGCTAATCTAAATACACACACAAACATCTATTCAATAATGAATAATTTTGATGATTGGACTGTTGTACATGTCAAAATTAGTAATTACAGTGCAAGAATGAACAAAAAATAGTAAGAAGTAATCTGATTGGATGATATGATAGTGGAAAGCCAATCGTTGTGGCTTCTACGATCACGGCTGACATATCTGCCACTCCATCTTTTTTGCTATAAAACCGGCGGCCGATAGATCGGCCAGTGATCCCTTGATGAAATAGAAATTAAGATTTTAAAATTTAACGCCTTAGCCTTGAGGCCTAAATTTAATTTAAAATATTTTTAAGCTCTCTGTGTTTGCAACTTTTATAACATTGATTCTTAAAATACTAAATTTCTGAAATTTGTTCAGACTCAGGTTGTTGTGTTTTTACTTTTGTGAAGGCAAAATTGACAAAAGCACGATTTCTTTTCCAAGTCCATGTCAACCAAAATGAATGATGATGGAATTTCGTGCAATCTCATAGTGACTGTGATTGTCCATTCCTTACGATTACGTGATTAGGTTGAGTAGTGCTGATTAAATAAATAGAAATATGCTATATTAATATTGTACAATTTTACTTTAATTAATTTAGTTTACTAGCAAATACACACTCACAGCTGAACTCACGCCTCCCTCAAATTAAATTTCAGAAGATTTAGATTTAGAATTAGAAACAGCTGCTCAACTCACGCTTGCTTAGCTTTGTTTGACTTTACTTTGTAAAACGTGTTGTTGTTACAAAATAGATTCTATTTTTTTTTAAACCTGCGTATAGATCTATAATATAATTGTTGTCAAGAGGTTATTATGACACCCATTTTTTAAAGTTATAGATCTTGTTTTAAACCGCACTCGTCTGGACTTAGTTCTACAACCCTACAGTAGTACAGTTCATTACACACTTGTGTTGTTATATTTTGCATGACGGTGGCCAGATTTTTAGAAGAAATGTAGGCCTTATTCATTATTTGATGCCAGGGTGGTTTTCTCAATTATTTAATATAAAAACATCACGTTAATAAAACAAAACAAAAGATTTCATAATTTTCTTTGTTGATATTGACATTTTGGAGTTAGACATTTTATAATAGAACTAAAATTTTCACGTAAAACATCCAATTTAAGTAATGACTTTTGATGGTCAGAAATCCAGAATCTTATCATTCCTTAATAATTAAAAAAAATAATTCAAGTTCCTTATGAGCTGATCACTAACTGCATTAGATCTAAGAACATATGTCTACATGTAGGTTTATAATTAAATCCTTATCTACCGGATCCTTATGTTTAAATGGTCGTTTTAAATTTCTATCTATATATATAATTCTCTTCATTGGGACAATGCGAGACACCAAGACGTGAGCTCAACAGACCATATCACTACCACCCCCACCCACACCAGTCTCATGAGCTGTTAATAAAATGGCCTATAGGTGAGAAATCAATGAAAGGGGAGGTAATATTTGATGACTTACATAGAAAAATCTAAGAAGGTTATTACCCTTTCGGGACAACCTTCTTGTGTAAACGTATTTTTTTCCCAATATGGATGAAATGTCCTTGTAATCTTAATGAGACGTGTTTTATAAATCCAAGCTTTTCGTTATATTTAACCATAATTTTTTCACGAACTTTTAAGAAACCGATAATTTTCCTGTAGGCCTATATCCTCGTTGACATTTATAAATTGCAATAATCAAATAATTTATACAGCTTACCTGTTAATTTTGAACTTTTAAAAACTTGTACTTAAAGATTTATATGGAAACATTAGTGAATTGGAAACTGATCGGATCGAGTTGTCTCAAAAACTGGTGAAACAGTTACCGCCATTTTTACATAACAGCTGTTATGATTTGACGTCATCCATTTTAGGCGATGGCCCCACACAAATGACATTTTTTGACGGCCCCACACAAATGACATTTTTTGACGGCCCCACACAAATGACATTTTTGACGGCCCCACACAAATGAAATTTTTGACGGCCACACACAAACGAAATTTAGACACACTCCTACCCCTGTTCTCACATTTTTCATTTAGACAAATCCTTTACCCAAAACCTGTTTGACTAAAATATAAGTCCACAAAAAATGTTGGCTAATAGACCTCTGATTACGTACGTCAAAAATAATAATTCAATAACGTGTGAGTGTGTGTATGTGTGTGTGTGTGTGTCTTCCAATACTAATAATAATGTAGGGATTTCTTTTCTTGGTAATTTTATATTAAAATTAGAATTTAGAATGTGTGGAGAAAATAAAAACATTTTTTATAGATACAGATTATAGAGCCTGCTTGATTTATTTAAAATATGTCTTTTCATATTAACTAAAAACCGATGCAGTTAAGCACTTATTTTTGTATAAAAATAAAAAGAAAAGTTTATTATTATCTCCAGTTGTGTACATCATTACAATAATCAGCATCTGATTCATGACTGTTATTCCCCCATCCATTCACTCGTCACAGAGGTAGGACCACTTATTTGGTATATAGAGATACAGAGATTTCATGACCTGTTGAGTCTTTTTTATTTTAAACACAACACTTACGTGTAGGCCTATGTATTGTGTATGTGTTGTGTTTATTGTAAAATTACCACTATGTTAACTTTATCGTCCACATTACCACACTCCCTATAGTCCACACGCTGCGACAAAAAAATGTTTCGTACCCTCCTGTTCTTGTGTGGACTGCCCTCGTGAGACTACCAGTGTTTCTTCCAGACTTTTTTCTCCGGGAGGGGGTGGGGGGCGCACTTGAAATTTTCGGGGGGGGGGGGGCGGTAGAATTTTTCCCCCTCCCCCGAAGAGATTCCTGGAAGAAACTCTGGAGACTACGGTAATTTTTATTTAAAGAGATCTTTAGATTCGATTTGTGGGGTTTGTATATTGGTGAGACTACGGTAGTTTTGATTTAAAGCGATCTTTAGATTCGATTTGCGGGGACAGTTATAAATTTCAGTGAAAGAAGGTATCTAAATATTACGTGTAAGACTACGGTAGTTTTGATTTAAAGAAAAAATTAGATTCGACTTTTTGTTGTCTTATATTGGTGAGACTATGGGAGCTTTATTTAAAGAGAACTTTAGATTCGACTTTGTGTGAGGACAGTCATAAGTTAGATTAGAAAAGTGTGTCTATATATTTGTTCAATAAAAATGAAGCCATAGTGTCATGCTATGGAATTTATTGTTTTAAAAAATATAAAAGTAAGCCTACTATTTACTTTAAACGAATTATAATTAAAAATTCAAATCAATATTATTATATTGATTTTTTAAAAAGTCAGCTACTGTGTTATACATTTTTAAAATGTCATATACTGTGAGGTCTGCACATTATAAAAAAATGCCAGTTACTGTATTGGTCTATAAATTTACAAATAAAAAAAAGAAAGAAATAAGATGTTGGTTTTAGCAAGCGCCAGATATCTTTAAATCGCATTTAATTTATTGCAACATAGTTGTATGAATGACATACTTAGCTTAAGTAGGCCTATTATAACGTGTTTGATTTTCGAAAAGTGTAAACTTTTTTTTTTTAGTTTAGGCTACACGTAATAGCCCTAAACTGTCTATTTTGTTGTGGATTACAGGGAATTAAAGATTTAAAAAAAACTGTCTAATGAACCAAAATTCGTGCCTTGCAGTCTATACAAGGTTGTAGTACACTGTATAATAGATATTCGCCGAGTTAAGCAATCCGGCAAAACCTTGGCTAACACCGGCAACCAGCCCTAAGATGTGAGAGTTAAGTCACACAACCGGTTTTGTCAGACCCCCCAATGAATGGTGTGCTCAGTGGTAATCTGCGGGGCTGAAACATATAGACTCATGTGTGTGGGGTTCAAACACGATACATTTTTATAACAGGATTCAGGCTACATTTGTTTGTGTTTGAAAAAATAGACGGCTTTGTTAAATAAATAATTGGCTCTGTGTGTATCTGTGAGAGAGACATATAGATCGTGTGTGGGGATGGGGGAAGAAGTGTGTCTGAGAATACGTGCGGGAAAGATGTTTGTGGAAAAGTGTGTGAGAAAGATGTTTGTGAAAAAGTGTGTGAGAAAGATGTTTGTGAAAAAATGTGTGAGAAAGATGTTTGTGAAAAAGTGTGTGAGAAAGAAAAAGAGTGAGAAACAGAATGTGTGTATGTGTGAGAAAGACTGTGTGAGAGATATGTGTGACAGATAATATGTGTGAGAGAGATTGTGTGAGAGATATTGTGTGAGAGATATTGTGTGTGAGAGAATGTGTGAGAGCTAATGTGTGGGATATATAATGTCTGTGTGAGAGACCATGTATGTGAGAGAAATTGTCATCAATCTGTGTGCGTGTGTGTATGATTACTATTGGTTTACAACGTATGTGAATGATTGAAGCACATATTAAAATAGATCAACACAATCCATTATAACACGATTCTAGGTATAATGGTTTTTGAAATACTCCCCAACATACCCCCCCCCCCCCCTCAAACACACACCTGAATGATGATTAGATTTTGTATCACCATATAAATAATACATCGTTCTTGCCAGATAATTTTAAACTTTAGTCCAGTGCCCTTCCCCCTCTTCCCCCCTCCCTTCACAAACATAACCTACGCCTAAAACAGAAGAAACGGGTTGATTGAATTGGCGTAATTTCCTAAATTGAATCAATCAGTTATGGAGCATTTTAAAAGATTTTTTTTTCTTATGTAAATTGAAAACAAATTGGTCCATGTACCTATTTGTATTGAAGAAATAAATATATGCAATTTGGGGGAGGGAATAGACTCTATTTGGGGGGGGGGGGGTGGCTTTTTATGACCAGGGAGGTGGGGTGGAGAGTGGAAAGGTAATAAAATAGTGACGTCATTTATGACCGACCCTCAACAGGTGTCGAAATTTGAATAAAATAATTTCAAGTAGCATGCAGTATATGCATGTGAAAGTTAAAGCAAGTAATCCACAGTATCACAAAAACACGCGTTTATTAGAGCAGTCTGCGCTGAATATAGGACCGTGAGCCATTTACGCTCTGTAAGACAACCTGATGTGTTTGGGTGTGTGTGGGGGGGGGGGGAGAGTCTAAAATGGGGGTTAACATTATCTGGCTAAAAGTGCATGTGTAAAAAAAAATATATTTTTTTAAATTAAAAAATTTCAACAATAATAAAAATGCTATTAAGGTCTGACTGTCCATCCACACTACCTATCTGATGATGAAACGAGAGAACATTTTTTCATTGAGAAACGAATGATCAATGCAATCAACAGGCTGCATTAACAAACACAAATGTTACTTAATGAATTAAACCTTAAGGGATAGGTTAAAGGTAAATTGACTTGACTGAGTTAGCGTTGTACAAATGAAATCAATTGGTTTTGTGTTTTATACATTCAACAGATTGAGTTTGGAGTGGTAGGTTTGATTGATTGTGTACGTTTGCTGTACGTCAGCACATTTGCATTTCTCCTATTGAGATGTTGAGACTAGCTGTGTTTGTCGACATCATTGAGTGTCCGTCGCTTGTAGCCTACAGGTAGATAGGGCTGTATTAAGGCGGCACATCCCATAATCCCACACGGCGAGTTATTACACCAAACAAACACACCCCCACTCACACTGTGTCAACTATATCATCACGACAAGACTAGGATAGGCCCGACGTAAAATTACGTGACGTCATTAAGGCATTATCCTTGCGCCCTTCTCACATTTTCTCTGGCTGCCTGCTTATTACAATTTTTTTTAATTAATTTTTTTTACAGGTTACCTGGTTCTCAAACTTGTGGACTTGAGTGATCTTGTTCTTGGGGGATCTTGTTCTTGGGGGAAGATCTTGTTCTTGGGGGATCTTGTTCTTGGGGGATCTTGTTCTTGGGGGATCTTGTTCTTGGGAGATCTTGTTCTTGGGGGATCTTGTTCTTGGGGGATCTTGTTCTTGGGGGATCTTGTTCTTGGGGGATCTTGTTCTTGGGAGATCTTGTTCTTGGGGGAAGATCTTGTTCTTGGGGGATCTTGTTCTTGGGGGATCTTGTTCTTGAGAGATCTTGTTCTTGGGGGATCTTGTTCTTGGGGGATCTTGTTCTTGGGAGATCTTGTTCTTGGGGGATCTTGTTCTTGGGGGATCTTGTTCTTGGGGGATCTTGTTCTTGGGGGATCTTGTTCTTGGGGGATCTTGTTCTTGGGGGATCTTGTTCTTGGGGGATCTTGTTCTTGGGGATCTTGTTCTTGGGGGATCTTGTTCTTGGGAGATCTTGTTCTTGGGGGATCTTGTTCTTGGGGGATCTTGTTCTTGGGAGATCTTGTTCTTGGGGGATCTTGTTCTTGGGGGATCTTGTTCTTGGGAGATCTTGTTCTTGGGGGATCTTGTTCTTGGGGGATCTTGTTCTTGGGGGATCTTGTTCTTGGGGGATCTTGTTCTTGGGGGATCTTGTTCTTGGGGATCTTGTTCTTGGGGGATCTTGTTCTTGGGGGATCTTGTTCTTGGGAGATCTTGTTCTTGGGGGATCTTGTTCTTGGGGGATCTTGTTCTTGGGGGATCTTGTTCTTGGGGGATCTTGTTCTTGGGGGAAGATCTTGTTCTTGGGGGATCTTGTTCTTGGGGGATCTTGTTCTTGGGGGAAGATCTTGTTCTTGGGGGAAGATCTTGTTCTTGAGGTGGGGGGGGGGGAAGGATCTTGTTCTTCGCCTGGTTCTGTCATAGGAATGGTTGTTTTAAAACGAGTGTGTGTGTGCGTGCATTCTAAAGGCTTGTGTTCTCCAGTTCTCGCATGTTGTTCCTACCATGTGTTCATCACTTCCTATCACCCCCCCCCCCCCAACAGTAGTTGTCTCCTGTGATTATCATCACTGCACCATTGCTTGTTCTACCCCAGTATACACACCAACCTCTCGTTAAAGCACGTTGGCCACCTCAGATGTTTAGATTTATGCGTGAACGCATGTTTAAAATGTTTACATTCATACGATAACGCATGTTTGACATGTTTAGATTTATACCATAATGTGTTTCACGTGTTTAGATTTTTGATGAATGTTTAAAGTGTTTACATGTATACAACACATTTCTCTAAATTTGTAGATTTTCACAGTAAAATACTTCTCAAAATATCCATGAATTTTTAGAATTCCTGTAAGGCAAGTTTCTAATGTCTTTTTTGTAAGCTTATTTTACATTTTTGGACTCATATCACTAAGTTTTCAAAGTTAAAAAGTACACGTAAATTTATGCTAGTTTTCCTATCTCCTGCATATTTAGGTAATCTCGTCTACATTATAAAGGTACCTATTAATGTACTCTGAGAACCGCTTAACAAATAGCCAATCAGGTGACAAGATAAAAATAGCCAGACATGGCGTCAATTAATGTAAGCAAACATTTTTTTTAAATTTTTTATTCATACACATGTGACTTGTATTGAAGCAAAGAAAGCGCTTTAAATTTTACTACAGGTGAAATTTATTTCATGCAAAAACATGCATCGCCGGATTGAAGGTATTTTTTTTTACAACATTGATAGGCAGGCAAGTATGTCATATTTTAGGGAGTGAATAATGCACTAGTGTTGATTTAGTCGGCAGTATGTGGTAACTGCGTGATTGTTTACAAATTTGCTCGAATTGTGAATACTTAAACACGCAATGTTTATGTATAATGTCTTTTTAATACACCCCTAAATGAAAGTCAGTAGTATAGCAACATACATATAAACGCATACATATATGGGCTATATCAGTAGTTCGGACAGGATCTTGATATGGGGGAGGGTGAGTAATACAAACATACAAATACTCATATATAACTGAATAAATGAATATATATATATATATATATATATATATATATATATATATATATATATATATATATATATATATATATATTCCATAACGTATTTTAGAAAATGTTTTTTTAAATTGAAAGCGACAAGATCGAGCGCTAGCTTGTAGATATCTAGCTGTGACTTATCGTGTAAGTGATCTGTTATTTTGAGTGTGTATAGGCCGATATCCTACGTAATGAAACACGCTGCACGATTGTCAGCTCATTACAGTCAAGGGTGATCGCCCCCTTGTTTACGACAGTGGTACTTAGTTGGCTCTAATCACTAATCAGGACTGTTATTCACAATGTGAGAAAGAGATCACCTAATCAAATAATTTAATATTTCACTAATAGTTGATATTGTGGTTGAAAATATTTCTAACAACACCAATTAGCTGTTAGGTCGTGGACAGAGGCGTAGCGAACCCATTTGGCGCCCCCCCCCCCTATATATTTTTTCATATTTATAATTCAAAACTGCAGCTAAATTAGCTTTTAATTTTTTCCAACCCATTTTGGCGCCACTGGGATCGGCGCTCGTGGACATATGTACCCCCCTCCCCCCCTGTCCCCCCCCCCCCCCCCGTCGCTACGCCTCTGGTAGTGGAGTAGGTCTCGCGACCCCTATGTACCAGTATAACGTCAACTATTGATGGGAATTTTCATAACTTTAGAAGTTTTGCTTACACAGGTCAAGCCTCGGGCAACTTTATATTACAGTTTTAATTTATAAGTGTTAACACTAAACATAGAAATGTAACCTTTAATGTAAGAAAAGGGGAGATCACTTTTTATTAGGTTCAAGGGAGATCATTTGTTTTTTTAATTCAACTCCCTGTCAGTTTCCCTGCAAGCACAATCGGAACACGAAAGTAAAAACGTCACTTGTCACATTACCACGTGATTCACGGTTCAACTTCCGTAACGTCATTGAACCTGTACTCAGTGACCCCTACCGTCGTGTTGTAGCTGCCCCACCCCCGCGCCCAACAGCTAATCGTGTTTGTGTTTTGTTTACGTTGAGCGAAAGGCGCTGAATGGTCGTGTTGACCGGGGACTTACCGCTCAAGGCTGCTGTCGTTAACAAGGTGACACACACGTGAGAGCACTTACCTCAGTCCCGGGGGGGGGGGTCTGTTTGTTGACACGGTCAGACCAGACCCGAATTACTCGTCCTGGCCAACTTGTTGACTGGCCCTAACGAGTTGGGCCAGTTGGCCAAGGAGTGTGTCCCTGTTTGGTGAGCTGGCATCAAGTGCTGGCCAAACACGGACGCTCGACGCATGCGGACGCCTGCTGTGACGCCTGCTGTGACGCCAAACGCTCACCGTACGTAGAGGAGATCAAGAAAAAAAAATAACCGGAGCTAGAAAAAACGATCAAGTATACCATCATTTTGATGATTTAAAAGAAAAGGTTTATTTGCATCGGGTATTTTGTTAAACTTCTACAGCACCTGAAATGTTGACGTGGTGGGGTAGTGAAGTAAACGAAAAAAAAGTCACAGGAAAAAAAAAACACAGAAAAAAAGTCACAGTTTTTGCTAGGAAAAAAAGTCACAGTGGAAAAATTTTTAAAGTCACAGAAATAAAGTCACAGAAAAAAAGTCACAAAAATCTTTTTAGAAATATTTTTATTAATTTGTTAAGAATTGTAAAATCTTGTATGTTGATTGTTGTGGTTTGTATTTTTTTATAGCATAAATTATATATAGACGTTAAAAGCATTATGATTTATAACAATTGTAAGTAAAAATACTCTAACATAATTAACACAACAATCTCATCTTTTGTTACGTATTTAGTTAAATACGCGGTAGAAAAGTTAATTATAAAAGAAATTTAGGCACATTTTGCCGTAGGCTATTCTCTGGTCGGCCTCTCCTCAGTAGGCATTGTCCGAACATAGTTTGTGTTGTTGAAGTTATGCGTCAATGACAGCCTTTGAACCTTGTCGGCTTTCTGTTTTGATCCTAAGTTTTGTTATGTAATGAGCGTGATAAATGTGGGCAGTAAAGGTGTTTGAACTAAACATAACTATTGTTGCCATGAGTTGAAGGCAGCAAGTCAGATGAACTTACCATTTCACGGTAAATTAATATTGGTATTTAAAAAAAACACGATGAAAAACGTGGACTTTGGAGCATTCTATTAAATGCTACTAATCTTAAGTTTAAAATAATTACATCTACATACTTCATAATAAATATTTTTAGATGAATTATAAAAATTCCTATGCGTATACAGCCTACACACATTACATTACATTTAATTAATCCTAAGTTAATTTGCACTCTCTAAATATTTAATACATAAAAGTATTAACAAATATCATTCTTATATATATTTGTGACTTTTTTTCCTGTGACTTTTTTTCCTGTGACTTTTTTTCTATATTTTTTTTCCTGTGCTTTTTTTTTCCTGTGACTTTTTTTCCTACAATCGGGTAGTGGTGGGGGTGGCAGTTGTCATTTGTTGGTCGCCGTCTGTATATTCCAATAGGGTAAAAGTAAGTAGCTGCGACATTCAAAACTTGAGAGGTCAACAAATATAACTTTGGTTATTTACGATCGTTCGGTCGTAATTTCCCCTTTAGTATTATGCTGATTTTATAATTATTTGCATTAATACTTAGAATTACGGTAATTTTAAGTAAATCTGTTAGGGTGAAGGAGGAGGCAGTAGCTTTACAGGGCGGGGAGGGGGTCCTTTCCGGCTGACACCATCCATAGGTTTGGGGGGGGGGGGGAACAAAACAAAAAGTAGCTAATTTTAATTACAATTAATTACCTTTTTCCAGTTAGTTTAATTACTTTTTTAAAGTAATGTACATAACTAGGCACATGGTGACGCCATCTTGGGGGGGGGGCAATCACATTACCTCACCGGGTGTCACCTGACCTAGTGACGCCACTGAAGCGGATTTGATCCCTCTACCCTATCGGGGCGTACATGATGTCTCCCCTTGTTCTCACCCCAAGTCTGACACCAGAGTAAAAAAAAAATTCAGCAACTTGAATGAATGTAATACATCGGTGTCATCAGTATTTTTAGACGAAATAAATCGATAAAATAATAACATTTAGCTGTTCTGGTCGCCATGGTAACCATAGAAAGGTGTGATAACATAGACCCGCGGTTTCAACCTTCAAGTCTTGGTTTACACGAATAGAAAAGAAATCTGTTAGAAAATTCGATTTTACTTTTTTTTACATTGATTAGTAGTGGCAAAAAAATAAATAAAATCAAAGGATCAAACTATAAAAATTATACTGTAAAACTGAATCTAAAAATCTAAAAATCTAAAAATGAATGCGCTTTACAAGAGAAAAATGGAGTTTGTATTGTTCCCAGTTATGTAATATGTATCAGGCTTGTGTTACAAAGGATTACAGAGTCCCCAGGATATAATTTCGAAATTTTCGTACATATCTAAAATGTAAAAAATGCGTTTAATATACGCCGTATGTAAAATTGTTATCTTACATCCGTTGATTGTGGCGGACATCTTATACCGGTACAGGTGCTTTACATATACGTATATACGTGGGTCTTAGGGGTCAATCAAAATTGACGTCACACCTCTGACGGGTCGGTAGGGGGAACTTAAATTTTGTGACAATGTGTGAGGAGGGGGTCTAGCGGTGAGACACACTGTGTACGTTTGGAAAACTAATTCTGGTAACAGAAAGATGGCGGTTATATCGCATTAGTTAAACACTTTTAAAAAAAATTGTAGAGCGAATTGAACAGAGAACCTAATCGTGACCTAGCTTAGTTAATAACACTCATGAAAGCGAAAGCTAGAGGAAGTGAAATAATCCTCCAATAAAAAAGCCTGACGTAATTTATAGGCGACCGGTTTTGAGTGTGCTATGTTCATATGTTAAATGTTTGATTTGTGGACATATTATACGAGACGGGGCCCTATATGTTGGGTGCTGAGATCCGTATGGTTATTGTATGTTTGATGTGTATTGACATAATACCACGTATATATGCCGATATGCTATGAGTGTGTTGAAATCAACCTCTTATGTTGATATCCTATACGTGTGTGATGTGTTGATTACCATAGTGATATTGAATGTGTGCTTGAACGTTTGCCCCACGATGTCTGCCATTAAAACCTGCCTCCCCACTTTGGCCTGCATCAGACGTAGGTCCTATTTTAAGCCCGCCATGGTGTAACTGTTGACACTGGCTGACTTAGACATTAGCGGCCATTGAAGGTTACAGGGAGCTAACTCATGTGCTAACTTCAATTGATCGGGATTAACCAACGACATGACCGCTCTTAATCCTTAGTTTCATGTTTAGGTAAGTGAAATGTAGATCAGATTTTATTTCACAAGTTCAGTTTAATTATGTGTCAGTTAATTTATAATAAAACGAGTCAAGAAGTAATTTATATTTATAGAGTGAAATGATTAATTGTTTATATATAAAAAAGTAAACAGTTATCTCATAGTAGATATAGTGAACAGAGTGTGAATTTATAATAAAGTGAATTAGGAGTGAATTAATAAAGTGCATTAGGAGTTAATTTTTAATAGAGTGAAGCAAGCGTTAACTTATCAGGTAAAAAAAAACTTGACAAATATAGCGAATCGAAAATCAATGTCCACAAAATCTGAATTGTTATGGAGATCAATGTATGTAGATGTTTTTTTTTATTTCTCTCCTGGGAAATAATTACAGCGTTTGTGTAATTAGTTTTCTAACAGATTAATACAAGCAAGTTTTTATTTACTGTGGAGGGAGGGAGGGATTAACGTTAATCAATTAGTTCTTACTATTTAATACACACCCTCCCTGTTGCTCAAATGTAGCTCACTCATTTTACATGGCCTGGGTAAACACGGAATGAGTGAGAGGATATATATATATATATATATATATATATATATATATATATATATATATATATATATATATATATATATATATATATAGGCCTATATATATATATATATATATATATATATGTATAAATAAATAAATATATATATATATATATATATATATATATATATATATATATATATATATATATATATATATATATACATATTTATATATATATATATAGAGAGAGAGACAGAGAAACAGAGAGACAGAGAAGCGGGGGGAGGGGGAGAGAAAGTGGTGTAGAAAGCTGATGGTGTAATCTTCCATTGCAAATATTTCTTATCTCTAAATGTGTGTGTATGTTTGAGATATGACATACTCAAGGGGAGTTAGTATAACTTTATTAGGGCATTCACTGCAGAACAAAATGGTTGACATTTCAAAATATCAGACTTTAGCAAATGTTAATATGTTGAATACAGATGAAATGTTAGTGTTATTCTATCAATAATATTCAGAATGTTGTTATGTTTAGTCAGGCTACATATTATTTTATCTATCATATTTAGAATGTTATTATGTTTATACACATCACATGGTCATGTTATTGTTATTCAATCGATTATATTTAGAAGAATAATTTTCGTCGATTTATCCCGCTTTGATTTCTTATTGAAAAAAAATAATTAGAAATATTTTCAAATTGTGGACATCGTTTTAAATCCGATTTAAATCTAGACATTCCAGGGGTTTAGGCTTATGTGACGATGTGTGACAAGGTCGGGGGGGGGGGGGGAAGTCGCATACGACGTGATGACAATCTTTAGCACTTCAAAAAGTAATCTAGACACATAATTAACGTGGGTTAGTTGTAATTAAAATGGGACGGAGTAGTCTAACGGTAGAGAGCTGGACTGCTAACCCGTGAGTCAACCAACTCTGATGGGTACCTAACTCACGTTATGGAAAGTAAAGACGGCTGGGCATAGTGCTGACCACACTATCTCTTCATATGCCGAGGTCACAGAAACAAGTGAACTCTACTTCACTTGCCCCATAGACCGTCAGGTTTGAAAGGGAAACTTTTAAAATCTTTAGTTGTAATTAAAATTGATTAATAAACTCACAGCCCTGCATATATTTGAGACATACATCGCTGGTTTAAAACAACAAAACTGACGTTTTGAGACGAGTGGTAAGTTGAGGTGTTACGCCACTTTAGGGGGTAGCGGGAGGGGGGGGGTCTAGCTTTTTGTGACGATCTGTGACGATGGGGCGGGGATAAAATTTTTGTCTCAACTGACCTGATAATGACACTCAGTATATGGGGTTCCCGCATGAACACTATCGACATCATCACCATAACCCCCGGTGACACAAATGTAGTCTACATCATCACCATAACCCCTGGTGATACATGTGTAGTCTAAATCTGTCAGCGTTTGGCTAATTGCCGGCTTCAAGATTAATTTTTGGCAAGGGGGATGACCTAGGTTGACCTTTTCATTAAGACTAAAACAGCACCTTCATCACCGCCTATGACACAGTTCAGTAGATTGAAGATGTTAGTCGTGACGTCACCAGGGTTTCCCTCCGACATTTTTCTTCAGGGGCAGGAAGGAGAGGGGCTTTTCGGGGAGGGGTTTGGACGATGGCTTAAGTATATACTTTCTATATATTTTTTTTCATTTAGTCCGGGAGAGGGGGAGGCGAGTGGTAGACGTGACCAATTCTTGGATACATAATATCATACTGATCCGTTAATGGATACAGAACATCATACTGATCCATTAATGGATATATAATATCATACTGATCCATTAATGGATACATAACGTCATATTGATCCATTAATGGATACAGAACGTCATATTGATCCATTAATGGATACAGAACGTCATATTGATCCATTAATGGATACAGAGTTTGATACTGAAGCATGTGTGGAGATACAATGTCACATTGACCCAGGCGATGACACGGAAGTAAAACTAGCACACCTGCTGAACCAGAGGTCAGACCTAGCTCCTGTGGGAAAAATAACCATCCAAAATCACGTGACTTGTATGGCAGGTTGTAATGAAGTAATTATAAAATCTTGCAAGTAAGATTGACTGTAAGGTTACATTGAATTGTACAAGAAGTTTGATTAAAAAGGAACATTATGTATTTTAAGTTTAAAACTTTAATGTACACGTCACATTGAATATAACATGTAGCGGTAAATGTTGCAGGTAGCATTAAATGTTACAGGTAGCAGTAGACACCTATTAATACCATATTGTGTGGGGTATATACCCTATTGTGTGGGGCATATGCCCTTTCGCGTGGGGCAAGCACATTATTGTGTGTTTGGCATTCACATTATTGAGTAGGACAAATACATTTTTGTATGTGGCATGTACCCTATTGTGTTGGGCATGTATCCTTTTGTGTGGGGCAAATACCCTATTGTGTGGGGGTAAATACGCTATTGTGTGGGGTAAATACGCTATTGTGTGGGGTAAATATCCTATTGTGTGGGGTAAATACGCTATTGTGTGGGGTAAATACACTATTGTGTGGAGTACAAACGACCTACCGTGTGGGTATAAACCACACATACAACTTTCCCTCGGCCTGTCTTCGTGCATGGCTTCAAGTTAATTAACACCATCTTCATGCACCACTTCACACGTCTTAGCGCTAGAAACCACGTGAAGTGACGTCACGAAGAATTAGCCATGCGAAGAAATTTTCTAAACAAATGTGTACTACGTCAGAACCCGAGCCTGATCCCTACTGATCTATAACCAGGTAGTATTACACAACGCGTTAGATCACTCTGCCACCAGAAGAGGCATAAGTTTGCAATGAATGACTACATTATTGAAGGGACCTTTTGATTCCCAGCTAAAGTATGTCAAGCATTGGTTGGAGAAACCGGGATTTTTTCCACGGGAGGATAACAGGTACAAATATGTTACACGCTGAATTGAATCGTCTTGTGTTCTTACATTCACATAGATGTATGGTGACAGCGAAACTGAAAGTTTGTAGCTTTAGATATACGCTTATATAAGTAACTATATATATATATATATATATATATATATATATATATATATATATATATATATATATATATATATATATATATATATATATATATATATATATATATATATACACTATATGCACGTCGCTTAAGATGTCTATTTATATGAGTATGTTTGTGTGTGTACATAACTATGTAAGTGTATGTGTATAAAATATTTCTGTTAGAATATTTCGGCTGCAGGCCAACTAGTTACGACACAAACCAGATTTGTACAACCTGTGTGAAGCAGTTCTTGTATCCGACAAATCCTGCTAGCAATATAGAATTGATAGGCATGTAGTTTAACTTCAGGTATCCGACAAATCCTGCTAGCAATATAGAACTGATTAGCATCGAAGTTTAACTTAACACTCGGTACTAGTTTAATTTAACACGTCCCAGTTTGATTTAACACGCTTCATTAATTTGTAGATTTTTTGTTACTTAAAGATTGAGTTGTGTTTTTGTTAATTGAAGAGTAAGTTGTGTATATTTTATTAGACGGAAGATTGAGTTGTGGCGGTTTGCTAATCGATTGTTGGGTTGTGGATGTTTTGTTCATTGAATATTGAGTTATCAATGTTTTGTTGATTGAAGATTGAGTTGTGGATGTGTTTTTTCCCCCCATATTGAGTTGTATAGGCTTTTGATAATTGAAAATTGAGTTGTGGATGTTTTGTTAATTGAAGATTGAGTTGTATATGCTTTTGTTAATTAAAAATTTAGTTATTAATGTTTGTTAATTGAAGATTGAGTTGTAGATGTTTTGTTAATTTGTGGCCAGCAATAATTAAAAGCATGTTGCGACAACTCTGGAGCAAACACCGGTCCGACTAAATCCCGAAATGTCGGGTCATCAAAACCTCTGACATATTTTAGTAGCGGTGATAACATTTCTGCTATCGCTCAGACCAATCAATAGTCCTGCCGGTATTGATGTTTGCGCCGAGATTATGGAAATGGATGAATAATCGTTGGGGGGGGGGGGGGGGGGCACGTTTCTGACACGAGAGCTCATTCACCCGATTACAAATTTAAATAATCGAATTCGATAATTTAATAAGCGATACTCTGCAGGGATTTAGGTTTTTCTTCTAGGACAACTATAAGTTGACCTGTAATTGTTGACCTATAATTGTTGAGCTGTAATTGTTGATTATGTAATTGTTGCTACATAACATGTGGACAGGGAACTTCATGACTCGTCCATGCTACTTTATAATGTGTCAATATTATGTCAACACAACTGTCAGTATTACTGTACCACTTGTTTTATGACATCACATCTGTCAGTATTACTGTATCACTTGTATGTGGAATGATATACTTTCACTGAATTACTACATAATGTGTTACATCACACGTCCGTAGGTTGAAACCACTGGTTTATATTGATATAAATCTGATCGATATTACTACCTAGTTTGTCCTAATTACGACACTGTGTTAATACCAATTCAATATTTGTCGACAGTAATACCAAATTTTTCCAAATTATTAAAAAGCTGTGTTAATACTTCCTAAAAATTAACTTTGTTGATTTTGTTGAATAATGTTTCCTAACGGTTCCACAAGAATACATAATTAAACAATCCTCATTTTTTATTCACCGAATTAAAGAATCCACTTGCCTCCCATCCCCATCTGTGAATTATAGTTTTCCTTAATTGGCAACACGCAGTATGGATATTTCTTATTTCCACCCCCCTCCCCACCCATGGCCACTAGTCACTAATTGCCACCCCCGCACGATTGGCCACTAGTCACTAATTGCCACTCACCCCTCTGAAATACTATTACAAAAAGGGTTTCTTTCAGACATTTTCCTCTGGTTGGGGCAGCGTATCTAAAGAATCCGGGCACTGGTTAAAGTATACAGTTTATGAAATTACACATTCTTCTATTTCGTACGGAGGATGGGGTGTACGTGCTCTCTCCCCCCCCCCCCCCCCCCCCCCCCCCATGCCTGAAAGAAACTGGTCCAGTGTTGTACCAGTCACAAAAACACTCACTAATCTAACAAAAAGATTTTTTTTGTGTCTTTTTAAATTTATACACAAAAATGAATATTTCTGCACAATTTCTACCCCCCCTCCCCATCTAGAAAATGGTCACACGTGACATATAAAGGTGTCTGACGTCAGCAAAATTTTGTTTTTCCTGCAATCTGTTGCATATTTCAAAAACTTAAAAACTTGAACCTGATCAATAAAAATAAATAAAAATAACTCCTTAGCTTTAAATAAACGTCAGATTTGTACTTTTGAGTTGTAGTAGACTTCATGTAGAGGTTACATTTTTAAAATGGTGATTTTAAATGGTGATTTTAAATAAAGGGAAAATAGAGCAAATAGTGTGTGATGTACAATCTCTCAGTGTCTTAAGCTGTTTTGAAAACATCAAAACTTTAATCGATAAGAAACGAATCAACGAAACAAAATATCAACAGGCCTGCCTGTCAATATCTCGACATATTATGTCAATCTTATGTATTCCAGCGACATCGAGTTCTGAAAATAATCTTTTGTTTGTGTGTGCAACATAGATTGTGTATTCTGTCAGGATTGTAGGATCCATAAAGCTTACCCGAGCTAGACACGTATTTTATTTTTAGGTCAACTTAAAACTAATTTGTTGTTTTCTTGGGCTGTATCGATTCGCTATAAAAACAATTTGCAAAGTATCGATATTTTTGGATCAATGGTTTTGTATGAAACGGATGATAATGAAATATTCAAGAATATCGATTCGCTCCTAGACATACTGTTGTTAGATTAATATGCACCCACACGTTTGTTTATTGTTGTCGGGGTCGGGTGACACAAACAGGGGAGGCGATTCAGTAAATTTGCTGAACTCTTGCAAGGGAGACAACTCATGATAATTTTCATGTTGTAGCAAGATTGAAGGAATAGCAAATTTTCAGTGTGTACGTAGATGTGGTATTCTATTCAATTTTAACTTTGTTTAATTTGTTTTTCATTTTAAAATTGACCTCAATTCAAGGTTTAAACCTTATTTACAGGTTAAAAGTTGGCAACATTTAAACATTGAAAGTGTTGTTTCCAGATCAAGATGGTTGCCCATAATTAGCTTCGCCTAGTGAGTAGCGGATCACAGCGGTGCTGTCTACCTACTGGTAAGTTGATACTTTCAGAACATATTACTTTCACTGTAGAGGGGTATATTGTTGAACACACACTCTTATATAGGCACAGTGTTGAGTACACACCTCCATATAGGCACAGTGTTGTGTACACATCACCCTTATATGGGCACAGTGTTGTGTACACACCTCCATATGGGCACAGTGTTGTGTACACACCTCCATATGGGGGCAGTGTTGTGTACACACCTCCATATGGCCACAGTTTTGTGTACACACCTCCATATGGGCACAGTTTTGTGTGCACACCTCCATATGGGCACAGTGCTGTGTACACACCTCCATATGGGAACAGCGTTTGTACACACCTCCATATGGACACAGTGCTGTGTACACATCTCCATATGTATGTCCACAGCGTTGAGTACACACCTCCATATGGGCAGTGTTGTGTACACACCTCCATATGGGCACAGTGTTGTGAACACACCCCCATATGGACAGTGTTGTCTACACACCTCCATATGGGCAGTGTTGTGTACACACCTCCATATGGGCAGTGTTGTGTACACACCTCCATATGGGCAGTGCTGTGTACACACCTCCATATGGGCACAGTGTGGTGTACACACCTCCATAGGGTACAGTGCTGTGTACACACCCCCATATGGACAGTGTTGTCTACACACCTCCATATGGGCAGTGTTGTGTACACACCTCCATATGGGCAGTGTTGTGTACACACCTCCATATGGGCAGTGCTGTGTACACACCTCCATATGGGCAGTGCTGTGTACACACCTCCATATGGGCACAGTGTGGTGTACACACCTCCATATGGGCACAGTGTTGTGTACACACCTCCATATGGGCACAGTGTTGTGTACACACCTCCATATGGGCACAGTGTTGTGTACACACCTCCATATGGGCAGTGTTGTGTACACACCTCCATATGGGCACAGTGTTGTGTACACACCTCCATATGGGCACAGTGTTGTGTACACACCTCCATATGGGCACAGTGTTCAACACACAACACTTAACATGTAATAGATAGTTGTGTGAGCAGCCCTGTGTATCATCAGGTCTAACATGGAAGGGTCTTTTTTTTACTTTAAAATCAATTCGTTATTCTTGCAGCGTATTATAATATGCATTGTACCTTGCCCGATCACCTTAGCATTTCTCTATTAAAGTTTTACTGAAGTACTGAAACACACAGCTGATAGAACTAAACAGTCCACAGAACTAAAATATTGACTTACTATCTGATTTTCTCTTGTCCACAGAACTAAAATGTTTGAGTCACGGAACAAAAAAGAGCCCAAACTTGTGTTTGTTCACAAGTCGCCTGGTTCAACGGCCGACCCTCGACCAGGGGACAAAATAAAACCAGGTACCACTCGACCACCGGAAGTGTCGCAGAACAGACCTCCCCAGGAACCGTTGAACCAAAACCAGACTGTAAGCTTCCAGAAGATTCCCACACCCCCACACAGCACACTGGTTGCTGTAGAAAAACAAACCTCCACAAGTACAACAGACTCCAGGGGCCAAACCTCGTCTCAAAAACTTGTAACGGTTCAGGAACAAATCCAGGCCAAACCTCTCCCACAACAGCAGAAGCCAGAATTTCCCACGGCGTCGGATAACAAACTGGCCACAGACCCACACGTGTCCCGCACACACGCACCCACGTCTGTGGTGGTCGTGACCTCCACACCAAATCAAAAGTCCAGCCCCGTCTTAACGAACAATGTCAACAGCGTTAGCGAGAGGCTGGAGGGGTTTAGTATATACAGGGGTCGTGATGTGCCAGCCGGTGAGGTCAAAATAGTGACAGACACCCCTGTCAAGCCAGGGTCGGTACCCGGCCAGGAATCCAGGCTGGTACCCGTTACGTCATCCACACCGACAGCTATGAGGAATGGATATGTGGATAAAGTGGATGCGAATAGTGGTGTTGTCAGAGTGTTCAACACTGAAACTTCCAACGTGTTTACCCAGGCTAAACAGCCGCAACTGCTGCCCATACAGCAGAAACAGCCGCAGCAGATGTCTATACAACAGAAACAGCCCGCGAATCAGACAGCAACAGTAGAGCAGTATGTTCAGGTGCGGGAGGCCAGATACCACTCCCCACCCCCTCACAGGGTTCAAAGCTACCCCCAGGTCACGCGTCCGGTCACCGTGACCCGCAGCTCGCGACCCAACGGAACCTATCTGGGCGAGGTTCAAACCCTGTCCTACAGCACGCAGCGGCCAGCCACCGTCCGACAGAGACCCTTCTCGCAGTCCGGCATGTCATCGTCCCACCACTTCCCCGTGGCATACAGCTACTACCCCCCTGGGGAGGAGACGGCTGCCAACACCAGCCCACGGAGCAGCATCTCTGGCTTCTCATACAAGCTGCAGCCAGAGCTGCCCTCGCCCTCGTCTGACGGAAAACGTCCGAAATCCATCCTTAAAAACGCCAGCTTGGATCAGCAGCCTGACTGGCACCAGAATGCTAGACTGATCCAAATACCGCGGGCTCAGAGCGTCAAAAGCCCCGCCAAAACGCGCGAGTATGACTTTAGTTCTATTTTAAGCAGCAGGAAGGACGCGCAGGCGCCTGGCCTGGCCAATCAGAGCACGGTGCAGGTCACGGCACAGACGTCACGACCGGTCACTTCCGGTTCCCAGATGACACCCCAGCAGAAGAAGTCGGTGACCTTTAACTCGCAGGTCAAGCTACACACGGAGGACAGGACGTCGACGGTCAAGTTTCTCTCTGTGGATGCTTGAGTGACCGTTGGGTCTGTTCAAGCTTGTGTGACCTTGACGTCTGCTGCCCTTGACATCAGGTGTCTGTTGATGTTCGTGGCCACTACATCAGGTAGACAGGGAGCCAGCACTACAACAGCGTAATGAAGATCTGACATACACCAACAATTTAATGTAGGCCAGAGACGGGGATAGATTTCGGTTATGGATGTCTGAAGAGAATGTGTACATAAATAAATTAAAACTGTAAATATACACAAGAAAATACAGCTATGATATACACATCTGAGTTTTGGTTGTTAGAAATGTGTACAATGTTCTCAATTAGTTAATTTCTATGCGAGATTAGCGTTAAGGTTCAGGCTAATCAGTCATACAAAATAATCAATACAAGATGGATGACTTTTTGATTTTAGTTTGTTTCTACTAATTTTATTTACTTGAATTTATAAGCAACATATTGAAAAAATAATTCATTTCTAAAAATTAAGTGACAACATTTAAAAAAATATTTCCTTCAGGGCTATCGCCCCCACCCTCTCCCCACCGCCATACGCTGCAACATTTTGAGTTAGTTCCAACCATGAAATATGGCAACACATCAAAGTAGGAGGGGTCTTTGATCTGTTTACAGATTATTGATTCATAAATCTAGTCGGGCGGAACTATGGAAGGTCAATCACATGAAAGCTGTTGACCTAAGACTTATAGGTCCCACTTCACGGCATGGTGACCTTACCTAAATGACGATCAATACATTTGTCATGCAGCTTTTAACAGCCTGTCGTCTGCGACAGTGGCGGTTATTTCAAGCACACCCAGACCTTACTTTATGGACAAAAACATGGCTTTTGTTTTTAGAACTGAATAGCAAATGGCCTGTATCAGCTCAAGTAATGTACACATAAGGAACATACAATACAACATACAATACAACATACAATAGAACATACAATACACATAAGGAACATACAATACAACATACAATACAACATACAATACAACATTCAATACACATAAGGAACATACAATACAACATACAATACAACATACAATACAACATACAATACAACATAAATACACACAAGGAACATACAATACAACATACAATACAACATAAATACACACAAGGAACATACAATACAACATAAGGAACATAAACATACAATACACATAAGGAACATACAGTACAACATACAATACACATAAGCAACATACAATACAACATACAATACACATAAGGAACATACAATCCAAAATACAATACACATAAGGAACATACAATACACTGTGGGTGGACGTAACAAAAATAAAACGGATAACGTAGGAACGGGCGAGTTGACAGTTGTTTTGTTGAAAAAGATTGTGATTTGATCTTTGCAATGTGTTACAGGCTGAAAAGAATCTGTTTGTATTAAGTTATATACTTAATATATCAGCCTTAGAATACCTTCGTCCCACATGGCAGCTGGAGACTGGGATATAAAGCCAAAGACCAACTTCTCAATTCTATTTTCCTATCTTAGCGTGTAAAACTCTTCAGATTTTAAATAGTTTCAATACTTTATTATACGCCCATCTATCGGCTTTTAAGAACACATTGCACAAGGATAAATAAATCTCGACGCCCCACATTTGACACTTACAATTCGCGATCGCTTGGCACTCTCGATTACCTCCCCTGCCTATGTTGACATATTGAAAGGGGAGGTAAGTTCCCTTGTTATGAATACAGAGCAGCAAATCTTTGAACCCGCGGCCCAGGCCTGCGGTTTGAGAAAGGGAAGTAACTCGGGCATTAAAACCGTTTAAATAACGACACGGTGACACTAACGATTCTAGACCTGACCCCATGCCGCCATACTTAGAGTGGAAACCCAGTGTGTGATTTATCGATTTAAAAAAATTTGGTGACGAGTTTACTTTAGCCACAGCTACTGTAATGCCCTGAGCCTCAAAACGTAAACAACCGATCGAGGCACGATTCTGTTTAATGAAATAATATACATCACCCAACACCACAAGACTGAAACTCTTCTATTTAAAGGTCACTAATATAACTAACATTTCTCGTTACTAGGGCAACCAGTGTCACCTGGTTAGATTGTTTTCCCATCAAACGTGACGATGGCGACAGGGGCGGGTAAGGAGGAGCCTGGATTGATACTGTTCCAGTGAACTCTGGCTTGACCTTTGGTCAGCGGTCGGTCATTGACCTGTAGCTCGTCGTTGTCCGAATCAGAGTTTGTGACGTCATGCTCACCTAGCACACTAGAACTGGTCGTTACAGGCGCCATTGTGGTTTTGTTCAGTTCAGCGCCGGAGCTTATCTGACCATGTTTAGAAACGGAGCTAGAGCTCAAGCTCAGGCCGTTGGGATTGTTTACGGTCTGGCTGGCAGAAGACGTCGACTCTGCTTTACCTGCCCGGCTCGCCTCCTGTTGCTTGAGTCTGCGCTTAGTGTCAGCTCTCAGAGCCTTCAACTTCCGCTTCTCTTCCAGAGCTCGTCTGTTCTTCAGGTGGGTGTACATCTGTAGTACCATGTTAGGGCTCCTCTCACGAGAGTCACTGACGCAGTCAGCATGGGAGTCACTGACTCTTGACGCGAACGTGTCATGCCTCTGGTAGTTGATGCCCTCACCGCTGAGGGTCAAGCTGGACATGGTGCCCTGACGTCCCACAGACATCTCGACATACAGGGCCTCTAGTGGCGAACAATAGAAGAAAGATAACAATCATTAGGAAATGCCTACATTATACTTAAATTATATACATATATATATATATATATATATATATATATATATATATATATATATATATATATATATATATATATATATATATATATATATATATATATATATATATATATATATATATATATATATATATATATATATATCAGTGGCGTAGCGAGGTCGGGTGTCACCCGGTGCGGTACTTAATGGTGTCACCCCCCAGAGGCGTAGCGACCCTTCCCGAGAACAAACTTTCAATTTTCGATTTGCATTCCCCCCCTCAAACTTTCGATATGCACCTCTTAAAAGACTATTTAACACTCGAATTAATCACTTAATTAAGTGAAATTATAATTTTTCTCTATGTATTTTGCTATTTTTTGCCTTGGTGTCACCCCCCTAAATGGTGTCACCCGGTGCGGTCCGTAGCCTCCGCCCCCCCCCCCTCGCTACGCCCCTGATATATATATATATATATATATATATATATATATATATATATATATATATATATATATATATATATATATATATATATATATATATATATAAACCCTCACTATATATTCATATATATGTATATATATATATATATATATATATATATATATATATATATATATATATATATATATATATATATATATAATTTAAGTATATCGTAGGCATTTCCTAATGATTGTATATACATATATTATATTCACATATAAGGACATATATACGTGTATGTATATACACATTGAGTTGAGTCCACGGAGGGAGCCGTGTAGCCCATATAGCATGAATTTTTTCACCAGGGCTGAGGGTACGAACAGCTGTTTTACAGTGTGATTACCTGGATTTACTTATCTGGGCCAATTATTGACAAGAAGAGTGACGTCATTTCATTACGTGCATTGATTATGTTCTTGATAATCTAATGCTCAGAAATTACCTTATTAAAATGACGGTGTCTGTATCGGGTTGGAAGAATAGCCTTAGGTTTTGTTCGATACACGGAACACCATAACAAACATGTAGAATCTAGCGGGCAGCGACCATTCATCTGTCAGGCCTGCTGGTGTTGGCCAATATTGTTTACAAACCCATGAGATGACGACGGTACTAAGGGGCAGATAATGCTCGTGTAAAGGTATAAACAAAACTTGCTTTTTATAAGTTCATGGGTTTGTTACTCACTTCTACTCTACTGCAGTCATTAGGTTTTACTGTCTGGATACTTTTTTTTCCAAAGACATGCACGAATCTCTCACTTGAAATATAATTCGATATTAAACTGGTCATTAATAATGTATTTAGATTAAATTCAGTAATAAAAGGGGAGATAACAACCGGATAAATCTCAAGCGAACACTCGACCAGCTTGGTTAGCACGGTGAACTGTTGGTCATGGTTGGTTGGTTTCATGCATGAGAGCAATTACGGGCGGTAGAAGGGGAAGATTATTGTCTTTTAGAAATCACATGCTACTGATAGGGTTTGAAAACAAATACTTTTAGTTGCAACTGGTGTCGACTTTATTAGAAACGAATAACTAAACAACAGAAAATTGAACACATATAGTACACTTTTATAATAATGATAAGCTTTTTAGCGCACTGAAATAAAAAAAAAGCATTAATTAGTTAAAAATTTGGTCGCTCATGAAAACCCTTACACCTTTTAGCTAACCATGCTTTTAAAAAAATTCAGTGCAGTTAAAAGCGTATTAGTATAGCGTCTTTTATTATTGTTTTATTATAGACCTCACAATAAAAATGTTGTTCGACCCAGACGTTTCTACTATTAAGGAAAAGTTTTTAGAATGTTATTTTTATTTCTTTTAAGAGCGTGTTTAATACAAAAAAAATATAAATGTCTTTTAAACTCGCAAGTCCTTTAGTTATGTATGCAGTGTACATTTTGGGGAAAACTCTAATATAATTGTTTATTTACAGTTCACCCAAAAACATGTTAAGTTCAATGGTTAAGGTATTTAACTTTCATTACTATTAAATCGCCCTGCCCATTACCCACGTTTTAAGCAATCTTTTTCGGATCGTCTATATATCAAATTTGATAAAGTCTTCTTCTCTCTCTCTCTCTATCCCCCCCCCCCCCCACCCCACTTCACCCCCGACATTGACATATGTCTGCTTAAAACACTAGCCCCATTCCCGAACAACAACAAAAAACGAATGACAACGACTATTTGCACGTTTTTCATTGCATATATATATATATATATATATATATATATATATATATATATATATATATATATATATATATATATATATATATATATATATATTTATGTATGCATATATGTATATATATGTATGCACATATGTATATATATGTATGTATATATCTATACGTCAAACTTTCACAACCAGTGCAAATGTTGGCTTTTTATCTCCGAGTTATAGAACCTACCCAAGAACGGTAACTCCAGTTTTTGCAAAACATCACGTGAAAGTTTGACAGCCATTGTTGACTGTGACATGACACTGTTGTGATCTCCTCATGACAGTGATAAGAATGTCAGCCCTGGGGATATTCTAATTGCACTGCATATTTTTAAAATCTTTCTGACCATAATACTGGATTCTCTTAACGTATTCTGGACGTGTGTAGACGATGTCAAGTTATGGACCACATCGACAGACAGAGGACATTACGCCTATCTACTACACTAAGTGCCACGCTGACCACAACATGCACCGATGTAAGTTAGGACACAAAGGACAGAATCAAACATAAAAAAAAACAGTTTTGGAACAGTAAAACACTAAGATGGCTGACTACAAGATTGTAAACAACACAGGACACAACCATCTTGCCCTGTCCATGTGTTAACCTAAATGTTATCGGGGGTAACAACATACTAACACGGCTAAAAATAGACAAGCTCACACAATTACCTGTTAACGATAGCAAAACCATTGGAAACAAAGATAATCTAAACCAAAGGTTCACTAAAGAGAACCTACATAAATCAATGAAAACCAAATGTAAATTCATGTAAACTTGCGAAATCCTGCGTAAACCTATGTAAACCTATGTAAACATAAAACAGATAATCTACTTACAAGTTAATCGTTTAATCCCTCCTTAACCAGCTGATCCTGTGGTGCCAGAGCAGGTGAGACTCAGGTGAACGGCTTCATTCAGTCGGGTCCTTCATTTCAAGTGGCGACACATTCACTGTCTTTCATGTGAAGACACCACTGTCTTTCTAGTAATGACAGCACTGTCTTTCAAGTGACAACACCACTCACTGTCTTTCAGAAGAGCACACAAGTCCTCCAGACCACACACTTCTGCCCAGCAGACGTCTACAGTACAACCCGTTACCTATTGTCTACCCAATCTCGCTTTCTTGACCTCTGCCCCCTCCACCTTTCAGACACCGACCATGTCTAAGTTTAATTATTGATATTTTAACCCCCACATAATGAAGGAATAATTTATTTTCGATATCGATAACACGCTGTTGTTGCTAGTTTCAGAGGGTTTGGCGTCGGGGGATCAATCGCCGATAAAAAACTGAGCCGAAGGAAAGTCCCATTGCTAATGTTCGGATCAAACAGGAACATGGGGCCATCAATCGAGACTGACGGGTCAGATAAAAAACTAGACGGGCCAGTGAAGGGGTAGGTTCCCCCAGTCAGATAAAAAAATATATCGGCCAGACACAGGCACGGTGTCAAGAGTTGCATTGCAAATCGAAATCGATTTAAAACGATTGAAAAGTCATTAGATTGGAAGTGGTATGAAAGTGTCATAGGGCTATGTGTGGCGAGAAAAGCGCACTATACATATGGTGAAGAAGTTGGTGGGGTTCAATGTGTGGGGGGGGGGGGGGGGAGTGGGGTTGGGGAGTTAGGGTAGGTGGTCGTCTATAGAGAAAAGCGGTTACATTTATTTGGGAGGGGGGTGTGAAGCAGTATTAAGTTGCATATATTTAGTATTTTATGAAAATGAAAAATAAAACCCATGCGAATATCGATTGGTTTTTATGGTAGGACTAGTAAGTGGTATCGTGATATCATGTTTAGAAGGGGGGGGGGGGGGTGTCGGCTTCTTGTGACGACTTCTGAAGGTTGTGTAAGTTTGAAATAATGTGACCACTTTTATGGACGATAATTTGCTTAATTTTGCCAGGTATTATTATAAAACGGTGAAACACATACACGTCAAGAAAAAAAAATAGTGAAACATAATTTATTAAACTTCAAGAAAAAAAGCGGGATTGATCTCCCCTAAACTTCCTCGTATATTCTTATATAACACTATGGGGGATGGGAACTCGGGAAATAAACATGATTTTTAATCCATTTTTAATTACTTAAACTTTTTAAAGTAGAATAGAATCTCGTAAAAAAGAATTGCGCACCAATTGAACGGCAAACTATGTGTATAATAGTGCGTAATATGCGTACGTAATAAATTCATATGCATTTTTTTTGAGAAAACGGAAATAGCGTAAATTACTACTACCGGTCAACGGAAATTACTCAAAATTTGATAGAAGGCAGACAATTAGATAGTGTACTAATATGTGAAATTTCGTTTATCTATCTGAAAAAGTAATTTCATCAACATAGCTGTAATTGTACTCAAGTTAACGTGTTCCCAGGCACACATACACACACACGGACAGAAGAGCAAAGCCCAGTTTTCCCGACTCCATTAGGCGTAAAACGCCAAAATTTTGATAAATCTGGATTTAGAATTTTTGCCCGATTAAAATAATTCCTCTATACTCCGTGTGTGATGAAGTACTGGGAAGTAAAACTGAAAACTTTCAAAATTTCATGTGATTTTTGTGCACGATTACAATAGAACTTGTAAGTTTATCGTTCTTTCTCGCGTTAATTCGTGTCTGGTTAGCCAGGGAGAGATAAAAGTTTTCGAACTAAATCAATTGTTGTGAACGGGGTTTCCCATTGATAACAAAAAACATGGCGGCTATTTGTTAGTAGGTCCCGCTTCAAGATTTCAAAATCATCAAACGTTCCAGAAATGCAACAACTGTAAAAACTTTCAACGCTGTTTTGTTCATATGGATGGGAACAAACACATGTGTATGCATTTTTGAATATAAAAGTTTTGTGGCGGTAAGTATATTGATTTTATTTCTTTTGTTGATAGTTTGTCCAAGGCTAGGGGACATTACTCTGACTCTACTCAGTCTTTGCTACGAGACTTAAGATTCCCAGACCTAGATTCTAGACCTAGATCTAGATTCTAGAATCTACCAACTAAGATCTACATTGCTTTAATCTAGTTCTAAGAGTATAAGTTCATGAATTAGAATATATTAGATCTAGATTCTAGATCTAGTATTTTAGTGATCTAGATAAAATATTAAAAATATTAAGAAAAGGATGACGGTAAAAACTAAAACAACAGGAAATGAGGATGACTTCCAGTCTCACTCAGCCTACGACTTACTTATTAATCGAATCTAGATTCTAGATCTAGATATTAGATCTAGATATCTAGAACTTAGACAACAATGTTAATGTTAATAATAGACCTAGATCTAGATCGATTACTGAACTAGACTCTAGTACTGATTACTCAGTGATTACTGTTTAATATTTTAGAAGTAGGCCTATTCCTATTACTTATTACCTAGTATTAGACTATTAGTTATTAGAAGTAGCTTGTAGATAGATGGCTAGATAGATTAGATAATATTACTAGATCTAGATAGAGATAGTAGAATAGATCTAGATCTAGATTCTAGTTGCAGATGGTAGTATGGTAGATTGTAGGAAAAAAAGTCACAGGAAAAAAAAACACAGGAAAAAAAAACACAGAAAAAAAGTCACAGGAAAAAAAGTCACAGGAAAAAAAGTCACAGGAAAAAAAGTCACAAATATATATTTGCATGATATTTGTTAATAATTTTATGTATTAAATATTTAGAGAGTGCAAATTAACTTAGGATTAATTAAGTGTAATGTAATGTGTGTAGGCTGTATACGCATAGTAATTTTTATAATTAATCTAAAAATACTTAGTATGAAGTATGTAGATTGTAATTATGTTGAACTTAAGATTAGTAGCATTTAATAGAATGCTCCAAAGTCCACGGTTTTCATCGAGTTTTTTTTAATACTAACATTAATTTTACCGAGAAATAGTAAGTTCTTCTGACTTGCTGCCCTCAACTCATGGCAACAATAGATATGTTTAGTACAACCACCTTTACTGCCCACATTTATCACGCTCATTACATAACAAAACTTAGGATCAAAACAGAAAGCCGACAAGGTTCAAAGGCGGTCATTGACGCATGACGTCAACAACACAAAATATGTCCGGACATTGCCTACTGAGGAGAGGCCGACCAGAGAATAGCCTACGGCCAAATTTGCCTAAATTTCTTTTATAATTAACTTTTCTACCGCGTATTTAACTAAGTAAATACGTGAGAAATGTTGAGATTGTTGTGTAAATTATCTAAGAGTATTTTTACTTACAATTGTTATAAACCATAATGCTTTTAACGTCTATAAATAATTTATGCCTTAAAAAAATACAACCCACAACAATAAACATACACAATTTTACAATTCTTAACAAATAAATCAAAATATTTCTAAAACGATTTTTGTGACTTTTTTTCTGTGACTTTATTTCTGTGACTTTTTTTCCGATAAAATTTTTCCACTGTGACTTTTTTCTGTGACTTTTTTTCCTAGCAAAAACTGTGACTTTTTTTCTGTGTTTTTTTTTCCTGTGACTTTTTTTCCGTTTACCGTATGGTAGGCCCTAGATCTAAAATCTAGATCTAGAGAATCTAGTACAAGTAGTAGATCTAGATAGATTCTAGATCTAGATTAGATCTAGTTTAGGTAAAACCTACCCTAGTTAAGTTTAGTAAGAGCTAGATCTAGTAATGCCTAGTAAGGCTAACCTGTTTTTAATTTTAAATCAATTTTTTTATATCTAGAATCTAGACTAGATCTACTCTAGCTATTTACTAGATCTAGATCAGTAGCCAGTAGAGTGATTAGAGTAGTAGTAGAGTGTAGTGTAGAGTACTGTAGACTATTGTAGAGTGTAGGTACTAATAACTAGACTGAAACTAAATTAGACTAGAATCTAGGTCTAGATACATTTAGGGCTTACAGACTTATCAGACTACAGTGTTGCAATGAGTAGATCTAGTAATATATAGATTTATAGATTAAATTTAGTTTGAAATTGTTACAGTAGTGCTACTACTTTTCTAAGTAGTAAGTAGTGTAGACTACTAGAAGAGCAAGATGATAGATCTCCATCAAGCTACAATAGAGTTTAGTTAGTAGTTAGTTAGTCATAGTAATAGTACCAAAAGCAGTGTAAGTAGCACAGTAAAAAAAAAGTATTACTAGGCCATCTACTATTGTATTAGGCCCTTTTATTTTTAGCAAGTTAAAGTTTGGTTAAGTACTAGTCTTCTAGCAAGTTGCCTAGTAGTAAACTTATAAACTAGATCATGTGTATTAGTACTATTAGACTTGTAGGCTAGTCTTGTTAGTCTAGACCAGGGACTATAAAATCTACAATTGATAACTTTCGGCCTTTTAGTATAAGCCTAATTATTAATGAATTACAGGGTACAAAAATTAATAAATTGGTCAGAGTCAGTATGGTTACAGTTAGCTGTTAATAGAATTAAGTTTTAGATCTATTGACTACAATTTTTAGTTACAAGTAATGAAAATGAAACTAATAGTTTTGTAATAGTTAAGATATGGTTAACTGTAAACCAGATATTTTAGTTTTTAAGACAAGCTAAGTAGATAGAAAACTGAACCTTTACAATAAATTAAACCTTTTATAAATATATATATATATATATATATATATATATATATATATATATATTAATATCTCATATTAGTTAAATAATTATTTTAATATAATATATGGATAAACTTAATAATTTATTACATTTAAATTCCCTAGGTACTTGGCAAGCAATTTTCTCACACTTTACTGTGGCTATTGGTGCTGATCTTGAACTAAAGGTGAGCTGAATTTTTTTTTTTATAATAAGCCATTTTTCAGCTTAAGCCCAAGTTTGAAATCGATTCAGTGTTCTAATTCTTAAAGAATATGTTGCTACTAAGATTATATACTGTAAGTATTAATATGTATGGCTTGATAGTGGGACTGTCAGACAGTAGCTTTCACATTTCTATCCTAAAAGATAAGAGTTCAGATCCCTGGTTTTAGTCCTGGTATGATGTCCTAAGTCTCATGAGTACCAGCTCTCATGAGTACCTGGCTCAAGATAGGGAAATTAAAGGTGGCTGGGTATA